TCTTGGAATGTACTTTCCCCCCAGTTGCTTCTTCCATGTCCTGCGGTTTTAGCCCTTCAGTGGATATACTCCTTCCTCACACTGTTAAATTTTGAAGTACAGAAGCTCATAATGGCAGCTTCTTTGCAGGGAGTTCTGTTCATCGGTTGCACACACACACACACACACACACACACACACACCACCACAGACCAGCAGCATATAATATGATAACCCATTGATTAGGATCAACTGACAGTCATAGAATAGCAAACTGGCCTCATTTTCTGACTTCTTCTATGCTAACCTATCACAAGCAATGATTCAGCTTGAAAGCCTTGTTATCAGCAGAACCAGTTCTCTCTCTTTTTTTCCTAGAAAAAGAGGTGCCAGAACTCACAATGAACACCTCCCTTGATCTCATAGAATGGCAATGGCGCCCACCTGAGAGGTGATGAAACTGAATTCTGGTGAGTTCCTGCTGAAATAAAAGCCCTGACCAGAACATGGGTGGTCTGTCAGATATCTTGGCACATCCGCGAATGATGTCATCACTCCTGCTTCAGAAATCCTGGAAGGGCACCCCTCCCTCTCCAATACATCCCTGCTGATTAGTTATCAGGCAGAGGAAGCTTACTCCAGAATGTGCAATTCTATTCTGTAGAAAGTGCTAACTGTTGTGTCTGGAAGTAACCAGAAATAAGTCCCAACTTTGTTCATACCAGGAAGCACAGCACCAAGATAGGGTCAAAATGAACCCCCTCCAACAGAGAATGCTGGTCACACCCTTGAGTGGGAGCGAATTTGCTGCACCTCAACTCTCTCTTGAAGAAGAATCAAGTTGGTCTTCTGCTGGGGAGGAGCTGGACTAGGCACATGGAGGCCATTGAGCCAATCAGAAAGGGGCGGACACCATGCTTTATAAGCTGGCTCCTCCCCAGAATCTCCACTCCTCTTTGCCTTTGCAGTGTGGGCTTTGCTAATTGCCTATTTGGGGGGTTGAACAGGATTTTTCTGATTGGCCTTAGGACTTCTTCATATTGCTGGGAGTTCTCTCATCCTTCATTTGGCTGAAACTAGCTTTTTGTCTGGGCACGAAAGAGAAGTATATGATCTTGTGGGCTATAGACCTGAGACATTAATGGGTCACCTTACACTGCATTGGCTTTGTAGGTCCTCAGGAGAGCCCTTTAGGCTTGGCATGTGCACTGGGATGAATGCTGACCTCTAGGACTATGGTGCGATTGTCATAAGGAACTTACCTGCCTGGGCTATGTCAATTTGGCTAAGTTCATTTAATTTGTTGTTTGCAGATTCTCTGTGGTTTTTAATATTTAAATAAATACAACATTTCCCACCATGGTTATGGTGTCTTGAGTCTCCTTTATAGATGTGATGGCAATAGCAACAGTACATACATCTTGTAAGTTGATCTCTGGGGGTGATGAGCATTCAGATAATTTGTGTGTACAGTGAATTTCCTGCCCCATCTGGGAAATCAATTTTGCAGAATTTTGCTAGGTTGGCAAGAGCTGGGACAGAGCAATAGGAGCTCACCCTGTTGCAGGGATTTGAACTGCCGACCTTCTGACCAGCAAGCCCAAGAGGCTCAGTGGCTTAGTCCACAGTGCCACCCATGTCCGTAGCCTGTGTACATGCTAGTGGAGGGGTAAAGCTGACATCAATTTGACTGCTGAAAGTGCAACTTGCTGCATCCAAAGCAATGTTGTCTTTATCCTCATGACTTGGCCTTTCAGACAGCCAAATTGGCAGATTTGAAAGCAGTGTGAGATCTGAATTAGAGGAATTTTATAAATAAACACCTGCACATCATTTACACTGGGCACCAATCTTTCCCCTCTCTTTTTGCATTTACATTTGCGAGCACATTCACAGAAGGGGGTTATTAAACAATTAGCCCAACATTTGGCCACGACTGACCCTGTAAGGTCCCAGAGGCGATAACCAGCGAAGCTGAATGACTTAAATTACACACCAAAGTAGGAGCAGCTGATGGCAATCAAGGAATGCTTTTTGATGCCCACAGGCTGCACAATCAATTAGATCAATGTAAGGGAGAGTTTCACAAGGGAGAGAGAATCACCCCCACTGAAGACTGCTCAGCGCCTGAACTGATAATCAGCTGTCAAGGGTGGTTTTGATATTGAGCTGAGAGGCATCCTGCCACCAAGTTGGCAGGGCCAGAGTTGACAAGCCGAGTGTTGTTTTGCAAAGTGATTGCTTTCCCTGATTTGGCATCTGCATTAGGTTCACCTTGCAAAATGAGCCATGCCGTGTGAGTTTATTATCTGAGAAGGAAGTTCCAAATAGCCCCCAGGCTTAACAGTCATTGGACACAACAGCAGAAGAGTTACTCGATGAAGCTGCTGGCATCATGCAATTGTCAGCTACCTAATGCAGAGGAAAACCATGGGAAAAATGGAGAGACCTAAATTGATAGTATCCTCCATCCTTATATCCTGTACCTAAGTCAGTGGAACTCAAGGTTGCAATATGTTACCTCTGATAATCCCCAGAGCCCTCTCTGATCTCCTTTCACCATTGCAAAAGTTTGTACATTGTACTTTGTACTTATGGGTATGGAAACCGCAAGAACATAAGAAAAGCCTGCTGGATCAGGCTGCTGACCCATCTAGTCCAGCATCCTGTTCTTTCACAGTAGCCAACCTGATGCCTGTGAGAAACCTGCAAGCAGGACTGGAGCACTAGAGCACTCTCCCCTCCTGTGGTTTCCAGCAACTGGTATTCAAATCAAAATCAAATTAAGCTTTATTGTACTAGCCAAAAGCCATGACAAAACCATAAGAACATGGTCATGGAACGAAATATCTATATAACTATATAGCTGTATATAAAAATCAGAGCCACTGCCTGAACCATCAAGATCATAAAATGCAGATGTATGTGTAGATTGGGGACTCCACACAGCATACAATATTGAACTGTTATTCAGAAGCATTACTATCTGAATTTCATCCATGTTTACCAACATCCCTTCAATGTTGTCACTTCCTTGCTTCTTTGATTCCCCCCCTAATACATGTGCTTTCACTCACAGGCACAGTGAATGCATCATGGGCTTTGTTGTCTTAAATGAACTTTGCCTACACACACACACATGCATCTGCCATTTTCCGTTAAGGTTGACCCTGACACTAAAGATTGGTTGAGATTATAGGAGACAGCTGAATGAGAAAGAAGTAATATATTGCCAGGAGGGAGCTAGTTTGACATGAAGTCTTAAAATATTGAAAATGCTGTTATCTCAATTTTTTTTTTAAAAAAAAAAATATACTTTTTTATGTAAGTTTGACAATAAAAGCTTCCGAAGATGGGCGTATGAGGATGCATCAGAAACACAGAACGTTTTTTTGGTATGGCCACCAGAAATTTTAAAGAAGAAAAAATCCTTGCCAATTTCAGTGGAAAATAAAGCGTTGCCTAGAATGATTGCCAGCTTGAATAACTGGAGGCTGCTTTCCAAATACCATTCCACCCCCCCCCCAAGCTCGTCCTTGTCCATTTTTATCAGCAGTAAACATTAAGGCGTAGAGTCCATGGAGCTGGAAATATGAACACAGTAATGGCTTTTTCATGTGTAGTCCTGATGCAATCCCTAATTTAATAACTAACAATGTGAAATGTCTGGCTGGTTCGGAAGCAGAACTTGTTTAATGCTTTAATTGGTACTTATTCTAAACAGTTCATTAGAAAGGCTGCTCCTTCTGCCGGCTTTTATAGTTGAGCTGACCTGACAAGCAGGAGGCCAGCAACTCTGATCAAGCAAAGATGCTAATTAACAAGCCTGGGGTCAGGCCTGTGTTTGTGAACACATTAGGTGCTCTGGGGAGGTCAGGAGTGGGGAACAGACACAGATGTCAAAATATGGTAGAAGCATATCAGGCTGTAGGGTGGTTCCCCCCCCCTTCCAATCCACTTTTTCTGGCAGTGTAACACACAGGATTGATAGCATAGGACGCTACCTCTGACATCCCTGGAATGGATTCCATTTGGCTACAGGCCAGCACTTGGAATTTTAATTGGCAAATAAGAGACCTTGTGCTATTGCTCAAATGTAAGCCAGGGATGGGGAACCTCTTCAGACGTTGATGGACTCCAGCTCCCATCTGCCCCAAGCAGCATAGCCAATGATAGAGATGATGGCAATTGTAGTCCAGCAACATTTTAGGGCCACACATGTTCCCTGCCTCCATGCTTCTACAATATGGCTGGTTTGCACTATTACCAGTAGAAGGTCCCTGGTTCAGCCCCTGGCATCTCCAGGTAAAGTTTCCTACTTGTGGGCTTCCCAATATGGGCATCTGGTTGACCTGTGTGAAGAGGATGCTGTATTCGCTGGACCACTGGAAGATCCAGCAGGCTCTTCTTATGTTCTTATGATTGGGAGAGAGCCCTGTCTGAAATCCTGGACAGCTTGTGTTGAACAGTGTCAACAGCATTGAGCTAGAATTGGACCGATGGTCCTACTTCGCTATAAGCCTGCTTCCTTTTGTTCTGCTCTCTCACTTGGGGGGATTTTATCATTACAGATGCGATGATAGCTCTACTTGGGCTCTGACACCCTACCATTATTTTTAATGTCTGGAGTACAAAGAGCAGAATGAATCATGGCAGCCTGTCACCTTGGTATCTGAATCCCATAGCTCATCTTGTACAGGTGGGCTAAACCCTTTCATTACCACTTGTCACCGTTCCACAGGCCAAGTTGCTGAGAGATGGGGCATCACACTGAAAAACAAAGGAGAGATTTGCCTCCTGAGATAAGGATGAAGGACTGCCAAGCAGATGGCCCTAGATGGAAATAAATGCAACAGGGATGCCAGCCCGTTCATCTCCCACCATATCAAACTCTCCAGTGTGCATCTGTGATTAGGCTTAAAAACCGTGTCCGCCACCTATTGCCAAGTGGCAAACGTCACTCAGAGGTGATATGTAGATACAGATCAATCTTGCATTGTGCAGGGCTTGTAGGACTACGCTTGCAATGACAGCACAGATACTAAAACTGCAACGATGCAGATAGGATCAGCATGGCCCTCTCGCTGGGATGCCATGCACATCCAATAAACATTCCATATTTTCATAGCTCAGTGGCAAAACATCTGCTTTGCTCCTGGTTAAATCGCTGGCATCTCCAGGTAGGGCTAGAAAAATCCAGGCAGCCATCCTATAAGACTCTCCTGGGAGCAAAACCCATTGAAATCAATGGGGCTTATATATGCATCAGAAACAGAAAGGAGGAAGCAGTGTGGATTTGGGAAGGGATGTGGCTTATTGGCTGAGTGTGCTGGTCCCAGGGGAATAAGGTACTATTACCGTAGGCCAAGATCAGTCCAGAGTCTCTAGCAGGGTAGATGATCACTAGATGAGACGCGAGGTCCGAGACAGGGAGCCAGGCGGGGTAACAGGAACGATGGTAGGGCAGAAGCAGGAAGCCAGGCGAGGAACAGGAACACTGGAGAGTCAGAAACAGGAAGCCGGGCGAGGAACAGGCACACTGGGAGTGCCGAACAAGGACTGGGTAAAACAGGTACTCCACAACGATGTTGCTCCCGCAACCTGGGACCGGGCTGCCTGACCTTTATCTTCTTCTAAGGCCGGGGGCGGTCCCGGCCCCCAGAAGCCCCGCCTCTCTTGGCCTTAAGGCGAGCACTCCTCCTGGGAGACACCAGTTCCCTTCGCCTCTCTGCCCTAAGCCTCTGCAGATCAGGAGAGGCCGAAGGGTTACTGGGCCCCGGGGGAGGCTCACCTGTAGCCACTGAGTCCTCCAGCACCTCTGGGGCCTGAATGATTTCACCTGGTGCCTGCTCTTGAGTTTCCTCAGCATCTAGGCCTTGCCCCAGTTCAGCCGGCCCTGGAGGCGGGGACTCCTGTGCCGGCTGGGATTCCTCCGGATCGCTCTCAGACTCGGAATCCCAGGCCATCACACCATCCCCCCTCCCAGGCCCCCCCCTCACTTGAGGGTCCGGACCCGGCTTGCTGGGGTACGCCGCATGAAACTCTCGGATGCAGGCAGGCGCGTGGACGTTGACCGCTGGTTCCCAGGAACGGTCCTCTGGCCCATACCCCTTCCAGTCAATGAGATACTGCAGCCTTCCCCTGCGGTATCGGGAGTCCAGAATGCGTTCCACCTCGTACTCAGGCTCTCCCTGCACCAAAACTGGCTGCGGTCGGGGACGGTCCGGGTGGAACTCGTCGGGTGGGGCCACCGGACTCAGAAGGGACCTGTGGAATACCGGGTGAACCTTCAGGTTTGCTGGCAACCGGAGACAGAATGCCACAGGCGAGACCTGGTTCACGATCGGGAACGGGCTGGTGAACCAGGCGTCCAGCTTCCGCGAAGGTCGAGAAGGGTGGAGGTGGCGAGTGGAAAGCCATACCAGGTCACCGACGTGAAGTTCCGGCCCCACCTGGCGGTGGCGGTCGGCCTGGACCTTGTACGCCTCCTTGGCCTGGCGCAGCTGCTCCATCAACAGCTGTTGCTGGGACTGGAGCTCCTGAAGCCACTCCGTCACCGCAGGGACCGCAGATGCCGGCAGCACATCCGGAAACAACCGTGGATGAAAGCCATAACTGGCCTGGAACGGGGTCTGCTGGGTGGACGCATTCACCGCGTTGTTATAAGCGAACTCCGCCAATGCTAGGTGGTCGACCCAGTCGTCCTGCTGGTAGCTGCAGTAACACCGGAGGTACTGTTCCAGCACCGCGTTCGCCCGTTCCGTCTGGCCATCAGTCTGTGGGTGGTAAGCAGATGAGAGACAGACCTCTGTTCCGAGGGCCTGGTGCAAAGCACGCCAAAACCGGGACGTGAACTGAACGCCGCGGTCGGACACTACACGCTCAGGCAGGCCATGCAGGCGGAAGACATGCTGAAGGTACAGCTGCGCGGTTTCCTTAGCTGAGGGTACGGATGGGCAGGGGGCACAGTGCACCATCTTCGTGAAGTGGTCGGAGAAAACTAGAAGGCAGGTGCAGCCACGAGACGGGGGTAACTCCACTACAAAGTCCAGAGAAACTGTGTGCCAAGGACGTGGTGGAACCGGCAACGGCTGAAGAAGGCCGGGGGGTCACCCGGTAGGCCCCTTGGCCCGCCTGCAGACGTCACAACCAGCGACATAGCGAGCCACGTCAGCCTTCAAACGGGGCCACCAAAACTCACGGCTTACCAGATGGGTGGTCCGATACCGCCCAAAGTGCCCCGCCGCTGGAGCATCATGGGTCATCCGGAGAACCTCAGCCCGCAGCGGCCCTGGTGGGATGTACAGGCGCCCGTGGTGCAGCAGAAGACCCTGATGCGAGACCAGCCCTGGATACTGAGGGCATGATCCTTCGGCCAGTTCCCGGAGTCGTTCCTGTGCCCAAGCGTCGACCCGCTGCTGTTCCCGCACCCGAGCCTGCAGTGGCTCAACCTCCTGGGTGGCCAGGAATGCAGCTGGTGGTAGGATCGTGGTGGGTGCTGCTTGCTGAACCGTGTCTGCGTTGTCTTCAGGTTTCCGGGACAGGGCATCCACCTTCTGGTTTTGGGAGCTAGGGATGTAGCGGATCCGGAACTGGAACCGGGAGAAGAACAACGCCCACCGGATCTGCCTTTGGTTCAGCTTGCGGGTGGTCTGGAGGTATTCCAGGTTCCGGTGGTCGGTTCTCACCTCCACCGGGTGTCTTGCTCCTTCAAGATGGTGGCGCCAAACCTCAAAGGCCACCTTGATGGCCAGTAGTTCCCGCTCCCACACGGTATAGTTACGCTCCGCTGGAAAGAGCTGGCGGGAATAGAAGGCGCAGGGTAAGAGTGGCGCTTCCGGTCCGTGCTGCTGAGACAAGACGGCACCGGGAGCCGTACTGGAGGCGTCAGTCTCTACCACAAAGGGTCGAGAAGGATCCGGATGTTGCAAGATTGGCGCTCTCTGGAAACAGGCCTTCAACCCTTGAAATGCCTCCTCCGCCTCCTTGTCCCAGGAAAACGGCGTCTTGGGGCGCAGTAGCCGGGTCAACGGGGTGGTGCGGTGAGCATAATCCGCAATGAAGGTCCGGTAATAGTTGGCGAACCCCAGGAAACGCTGTAGGTCCTTGCGGTTCCGAGGTGCCGCCCAATCTCGAACCGCTGCCACCTTCCCCGGATCCATCTGCACCCCACCTGGTGAGAGTCGGTGACCCAGGAAGTCCACTGACCGCTGATGAAACTCGCACTTGCTGAGCTTTGCATACAGACGATGCTCACGCAAGCACTGCAGCACGGTCCGGACATGGCCCTCGTGGCGAGCCGGGTCACGGGAGTAAACCAGAATGTCATCCAAGTACACCACCACGTACTTGTCTAGCAAGTCCTGGAACACGTGGTTGATGTACCGTTGGAACACAGCAGGCGCGTTGCACAAACCAAAGGGCATAACCAGGTATTCGAACTGTCCGTACCGGGTCCCGAATGCTGTCTTCCACTCATCCCCGGGGCGGATTCGAATCAAATTGTAGGCTCCCCGGAGGTCTAACTTGGTGAACACCTGCGCCCCTTGCACCCGCTACAGTAACTCCGAAATAAGGGGCAAGGGGTACCGGTCCGGGATGGTAATTTTGTTCAGGGCCCGGTAATCATGGCAAAGGCGGAGCTCCCCACATTTCTTTTTAACAAAGAGCACTGGCGCAGCAGTGGGCGAGGTAGAAGGTCTAATGAACCCACGCTCCAGGTTCTTGCGCAAGAAGTCCTGCAAAGCCTCGCGCTCTGGCTCTGTTAACGAGTATAAGCGACTCACCGGTAGAGGCGCTCCGGGCTGGAGGTCTATGCCGCAGTCAAAGGACCGATGCGGCGGCAGCTGGTCTGCCCCCCGTTCCTTGAACACGTCGTGATAGTCCCGGTACTCAGCGGGGAGCGTTGCCGCAGCCTCCTCAGTGGGCGCAGCTGCTAGCATCTCAGTCTCAGCAGGAGAACTGGGGTCTGGGAAGTGTACAGTCCGTTTGACCCAGTCAATCTGCACATTGTGAGCCTCCAGCCAGTCCATCCCAAGCACCAGGGGGAACCGGGGCATGGAGGCAATATCCAGAGTTCGCATCTCACGGTGCTGCTGGAGGCACAGGACCAGGGGCTGGGTCTCCTGAGTGACGGCACCCGAACGCAGGGGCCGTCCGTCGATTGCCTCCACCTGTACCGGTTCTGGCTTGTTCCGAAGTGGCACCTGATGCTGGGCAGCAAAAGCAGCGTCCATATAAGAGCGGGTTGCCCCTGAATCCACCAGAGCATGGGTAAGAATCCATGGCCCTCCTGGAGGGTATAGATGTACCGGAACCATAAGGTGTTGTAATTCAATTGGTGCGGCCCCATTCTGTGCTGTTTGGGACCCCAGGTAGCCAGGGCCATCAGCTACTAGGGGTTGGCGGTTTCCCTGCGGCTGGCGTTTCTCAGGACAGGACTGTGCATAGTGTCCGCTTCCGCCACAATAGAGACATAGGTTCCCCTCCCGACGCCGCGACTTCTCTGCGGGGGAGAGGCGTGGCCGCACTGCCCCAAGCTGCATAGGTTCCTCCAATGACTCAGCTGGGCCTGTGGGGCTGCTGGTAGACACTGGGGCCGAGAACTGGAGGTGCCGGCGGCCCCGAGCCTGACGCCGGTCCTCTAGCCGATCGTCTATCTGTAGACTCCGTTGAATAAGGGTGTCTAGCGTGGTGGGGCGTTCCATTGTGGCCAGCTGGTCCAGTATCTCATCTGAAAGCCCCTCGAGATACTGGTCCCGAAGAGCAGAGTCGTTCCAGGTCAAGTCCTGTGCCAGCAGCCGGAATTCTGTGGTGTATGCGGCCACCGTGGACTTGCCCTGTCTCAACCGCCGAATCGCCCGGTTGGCTTGACTCCCCTTCTGAGGGTTGCCGAACGCAGCCTCCAACAGATTGCAAAACCCCCCGTAGTCTGCCAGCAAGGGGGAGTCTTGCCTGAGCAGCGGCAACGCCCACTTGGCCGCCTGGTCCTTTAACAAGCTAATCAAAAAATGCACCTTGGTGCGGTCGTCAGGGAAGTTCCGGGCGCGCCCCTGAATATACAGCTTGGCCTGGGCAAGGAACATGGGAAAGCTGGCCGGGGCCCCATCAAATTTCTCAGGCAA